ATCCTGCCTCATTAATTAGTCCTTAACTTACATCATGACCTACTCCAGCTTCTCTGACTGAAAATTGTATTTTGCAGAAAAAAAAAAAACTAAACAAAAGACAATTCAAATTGTGATTGTTTTCTTTTTCTTTAATGAAACCAATACTGCCACAGTCTTAACCATAGCAAAGCACCATATGTCAGATTTTGGCTTTGTTCATTGCCTAAAAAAAAAATCCAGCGAAACAAAAGTCTTTGAAAGGCTTCCAGCAAACCTTGATCTAATGCCTCCATGATACATGGAGGAGTCCACAGTGTCTCGGTTATATAGACTCATTTCCACGCCCACGCGTGTATCTGCGCGATGAAACCCAGAAGTGTTTTTTTTTTTTCTTTTTCTCTCACATACGTTAGCTGTAATGAAGAAGAGACATGATGAAGCCAAGAGCTCACACAGACACACACACACAGACACATACCCAGTCCTCCTGTGGGATTAGTGTACAGATAAATTAATCATTAAAAGACAAACTTGCTTTAGGCATGGCCTGCTGCCTCGAAATGAATATTTTACAAGCGAGTACATCTCTGTCTTCATCCTTCCCTCTTTTCTCTCTGCCAGAGTCTCTCGATAAATACATTTATTCTTTAACTTCTCAGGTATTCACCGCCTGAAGCAACACAGCACCCACCAAAAACACACTCTCACCTTCATCTGCCACACGAAGGGGACTTCTTGTCACACCGACAAGAAGTTTTTCCTCAGCGCGTTGCTGTGGCACCAGCAGACACTACAGGGCAGTGGCGGAGAGTCGGAGTTCAAGGCCAGAGACTTAATCATGTCATCAATTAGGGACGCCTGCGTGCCTGATCGGGTGGCGAAGAAGAAACGAGCAAACAATGATTCAATGGTGTGCTTGGTATTCTGCCTCCGCCTCATTCGTTGTCTGCGATTGATGACCGGGTTGCGTTCTGCTCGGCCAGCCAGGCGGCGATGAAAACTGACTGCAGAGCAGAACGATCCGCAAGCGGAATGAACGCCTTCTCCCCGACGCTCGTGTCTGAATTCAACTCTCCAATGACTGCATTCATGCATTTTCATCTGGCGCGACTCACTTCAGGCCTCATTTGTTATATCATCAGCACTGAGAGTAGAAGGAACAAATAAAGGAGTTCCTCTTTATATAGAGAGGAGAATTTATTTTAATATTCTTGATATAAATCTTCGTTTTCCCTCCACCCCCTTCTGATCATTCCTGGCTGTTTCAGCACAATTGCCTTTTCTCCAATCTGAATATCCCCGGCTGAAAAGCAACATTACATCCCACAGAGTCTTTTTTTCTCCCCTTTATCTCCTTTGGTTCTCCTTAACTGGCCCCTATGGCTTGATCTCCAGCAGGGCAGCTGTTTACAGATGATAAACCCTGTACTATGGGCTCCACAATGACCACAGAAGGATGCAGTTAAAATTACTCATAAACAGCTTAAAGACTTTTAAGTTTTCCTCCCCAGTTTGACACTTGGCTAAGTTCTTCCAAAGCTGAGGGATCGTTTCAGGAGCATCGTATAAAATCACCACCTTGGGCTTAGATTATTTACAGCATTTAAGAGATTTACTATTTTGTCGCTTTGTTCAGCCCTTGGCTGTGTTGTGCTCATTTTAATGAAACATTTAAGAACTCGTTCAATAATTAATGATTTGTCAGATTTAATAGCAAGCAGTGAAATATGCCTGATTGAGTGCTTCTGGGATTTTCCACTGAGGATTTCAGTTAATTCGATGAAAAGTTGTGATCAGTGGTCTACATGCACTTGAGCTTGAATGAATGGCTAATACATCAGTCAGTTTAGTAAATGTTTCATCTGATCAGGAAGCGTTCCATAAAATGGGACCAAGCTTGCCCAGTATGGCCAACGTCAGATTTCAAACAAGGGTTAATGTGACGTATCTGGCTGCGATAACTGAAACCTCTGCAGTCATTCAGAAATGACAGCTAAAACATTTTTTAAAAAGTTGTTTAAATCAATAGTAGTTTAATCTTCATTTAGTTTGTCTGTACTTGTCTTTGTTGATTGAAGGAGGCGGGGGGGAGAAAAGGTGAAAATCCAAATTGTTCACTCAATTGTTGATTTCAAAATTCAACGTAGTTCTGTGTGGACTAATTAATCCACCCTGCAAAAAGGAAATATTCAAATGAATAGATGCTAGCAACTCGGTCATTAAACTGTGTTGAACGATTTCACCAGCAGGCGTCAGGAAACGGACACGGCGTCTGCACGGAGTTTCTTTGTGCCGGCCATTTTTGATCATAGATCAGAAATGAACTACTTCCACTTCAGACCACATCTTCTTCAGAAACGCTGAGATAATCCAACATTCACTGGGAGTTGTGATGTTTTCTGATGCTATCTGAGCTTGCCATCTGGCTGGGGATAACTGAACAGCTTCGTATGACCAGCCGTGACTTAACTCTGGAAAGACCTTCTGAATGATGATGCATTTTTTACCTTCTGCAACCACGGCAATCTGGTTGCTGGTACTAAAACTGTACTTGCGCTCATATAGTAATGCGTTGTAATGAATAACTTTGACTGTTTCTTTGCTGTAAAACTATATCTGATTGGTCAGCTCATCATAATTGTGCATCTTCAATTAGCTTCTGGAGGTTCCTTTCATTTAGATGCTTTGGAAAACTTCTAATTTGCCCCATTCATTCAAATCTGAATGCAGTTTTTTATCTGACTGCTTCCTTTATGATTTCCACATTCTGACGCAGAACCACACAATGCCTCTACGCAGCAGGAGACCTAGAAGGGGCTTGATTGTGTTATGTTAATTGAAACAGTCAAAACTTGTTTTTTTCGCCTTGTCAGTCTCACTGAGAGACTGTGACAAAAGGTTGCTTTTGACGACTGCCAGCATGTCCTTCCACTGTGTTTGGACTATGCTGTGAAATCACAGCGTGTTTGTCGGTAGACGGCGGATGAAAAGACGGTGCAAATCAAAGTTCGTACACGATGAACGTCCTTTCAACAATTTGGGAAAAAAATAGTCAATGCTGAATGTATTATGGATTTTTTTTTTTGCGGTGATAACAAACTTTATTTGTTTTTCCTGACAGCTGAAACCTGAGTAGACGTTTATAACCTTTGCCTTATAAAAATTTTTACCATCAAACATTGTCAATTTCAATGTTGATAGAGTATTCAAAAAACTCCCATTTGTCATGATTCATAGGTGCTTTGTGATGGGGTTTTATTTTGTGCTTAGTTCCTGATATTTCTGGGTTTATTATTACCAGTAAGTTTTTACAATATTCAGTTTATTTCTCTGTTTTGTCCATCGTTGTTGGTATTGTCCAACCATAACAGTCAGATCCTTTGTGTTTAGTTTCTTTCTCATTTGTTTTTTCTTTTTTTTTTTTTTTTTCCTGTGGGAGGAAACGGGAATACCCGGAGAGAACCCAGGCATTCGCAGGAAAAACATGCACTGTGTGCAGAAAGACCCCGGGCCGGGAATCAAACCCAGGACCTTCTTGCTGCAAGGCAACAGTGCTACCAACTGCGCCACTGTGCTGCTCTGCTACATGTGTGTTTGAAATTTATGCTATCAAGTTGAGCCAAATAGCTGTGCTTCTAAAATAAGTCTATGTTCAATGGTTTGTAACATTATTGTGATGTAAGCCATGCACAGACATTGCTAAGCATTGTAGTGTGTGTGTATTAATGGGTGTGCATGCGTGTGTGTGTGTGTGTGTGTGTGTGGGTGTATTAGGTCTCTGAGTCTTACTGTGTTGATGCATCTGTGTGTGTTTTCGCCCTAAAGCTACCCCCACCTGTCAGAGTGTGATTGTCACAGTAGCTCCTTGCTGCCCGCTCTCATCACCATTTCAAACTTTGTTGACTAACACTTAACTTCCACACAAGTTACTTTCACAGAACCTTGCTTTGAACCGCAGGCTTCGGGCCGTTTGCCCAGCAGAATCACGGCGTGGTCTTTGAAAACTGATTGGTCTTGCAGTTGTTGGCAATGTTGTTTTCAGAAGCGGTTGAGTCCCAAATGGAAGGCATCTGATCCCAATCATCATCATCACACTTGTTCTCATGCGTATAGCGTATATATAGTGAGTCCACAACATCCTAAAATTGTAAGCTGTACTTTCCCTGTTTAATCTAAAGGAGCCAGGATCCTAGTTTTGAGGGTTTGCACAGAGAGTAATACAATTTTCCTGAGATATGAATATTTTTGAGCCTGATTGTATGTGTGCATCTTATTTATCCACCTTATGTTGGTAGATATATTCCCATTAAAAATGTAAAGATACATTTCTAAAATTCTCTTAGCAGTTAGCACTGCAGTTAGCATTTCCAGGTCTGTGTGCATGTTGATTTACATTAAAATATCTGCTCCTTTACCATGTACATAATCTCTGTTTACTGCATTGTCAGCAGTTCTGGCCTCTGGCTCACCTGTGAGCCTTCAATCTTCAACATGTTGCCAATTTAATATCCAGGTCTTATTTATTGTTTTTAGCTCCACAGTCAGAAACATTCGCCTCCGTCTTCGTCACTAACAGTTGACGCTAGGAGCAGAAAGCAGGCTAGGTAGAGGCAGTGCTGGTATGTTTTGATTGGAAATATGCGCCATTTTCGCACAGAAAATGTGAATTTCAGACCTGCTATGATACAAAGGTATCAACATGTGTTTATACTGTGTGGCATTTTTCAAACAGCAGGTTGAATTAACATGTTCAGTTCCAACGGTCTCAGTGACATCAGCAGTTATGACATCACTCTGTGATGCCACAAAGGAATCTCTCTCTTGAATGTAGCTCAGAGACAGAGTTTCCTCAGACCTGTTCGACAGTTCCATTGCGACAGATCACTCTCCAGTGCACGTTTGAGATTAATCAATTCTTAATACTACGAGCTTTTCAGAGAAGAACCGACAAGAGCATAGAGATGAAGACCACTTGTGTAATTGAGACTATTCAACCTGAGCTTTCCTGGAATCAAATGATGGCGCTCAACGTCCAAGTGGACTACGACGCTATCCTTACTTTTGATGATAACGATGATAGCTCCACTGAAGACGAATCAGAGATTCAGAGGGAAACAAGTTCTTCTAGCGTCGGTGAGAGTCCAAGGTCCCTCAAAATTGAGCAGGAAACATCTCCCTCTGCTGAGATCAGCCCCTTAGTGAAGATGAGCCAAAAAGTAATCGATCTGACAAACCAGGTCGACAATCTTAATATAGAATTGAAAAACAAGATTTGTGAGCTCCGAGAGGAAAAAGATCGAAGAATCGCGAGGGAGGCTGAAATCAAGTCACAGCAGGAAGAAATTCGAAAACTCAAAAAAATGTTGGTGGAACAACGTCACCTACAAGATAAACAAGAACATAGAAGAAATGTGCCGGAGACAACAGGTGGTTCGAAGGTATCTTCCTCAGCCAAAGCCGACAAGAGCCATCTTCAGCAGGTGGACTACTACAAGAGGGAGGCCGAAAAGTACGCCTTCAGAAATAAAGGGCTGATAGAAGTTATGATTGAAGAATATAAAGTGAGGCTAAAACACGAGGAAGAACTCAAAAATCAATCAGAGCAAATTTCAAAATTTAAAGAGCAGCAGGAAAATATGAAATCTCTGCAGGCTGTAGTTGCAGAGCTGAAGGTGAAGCTGAAAACTGCTCTGGAAAACAACAGTCCGAAAGTCTCCAGCCAGCCAGACGGCTCCCTAGAAAATGAGCAAAGACGGACCTTCATGCTACCAGGGGTCTCCACAAATAGCTTGGCTCCACCTTTGCGCCAGCCCACTTCGAGATCGCAAAGAGAAGATTTTCTACAACCAGAGGAGACCAAGAAAACACAGACTTCCAACCAGCCATGGAGCACTGAAGAAAGGAAGACTTCCAACCAGCCATGGAGCACTGAAGAAAGGAAGACTTCCAACCAGCCATGGAGGTCTGAAGAAAGGCAGACTTCCAACCAGCCATGGAAGTCTGAAGAAAGGAAGACTTCCAACCAGCCATGGAAGTCTGAAGAAAGGAAGACTTCCAACCAGCCATGGAAGTCTGAAGAAAGGCAGACTTCCAACCAGCCATGGAAGTCTGAAGAAAGGAAGACTTCCAACCAGCCATGGAGGGTTGAAGAAAGGAAGACTTCCAACCAGCCATGGAGCACTGAAGAAAGGCAGACTTCCAACCAGCCATGGAGCACTGAAGAAAGGAAGACTTCCAACCAGCCATGGAGCACTGAAGAAAGGAAGACTTCCAACCAGCCATGGAGCACTGAAGAAAGGAAGACTTCCAACCAGCCATGGAGCACTGAAGAAAGGAAGACTTCCAACCAGCCATGGAGCACTGAAGAAAGGAAGACTTCCAACCAGCCATGGAAGTCTGAAGGAGGGCAGACTTCCAACCAGCCATGGAAGTCTGAAGAAAGGCAGACTTCCAACCAGCCATGGAAGTCTGAAGAAAGGAAGACTTCCAACCAGCCATGGAGCACTGAAGAAAGGAAGACTTCCAACCAGCCATGGAGGGTTGAAGAAAGGAAGACTTCCAACCAGCTATGGAAGTCTGAAGAAAGGCAGACTTCCAACCAGCCATGGAGCACTGAAGAAAGGAAGACTTCCAACCAGCCATGGAGGGCTGAAGAAAGGAAGACTTCCAACCAGCCATGGAGCACTGAAGAAAGGAAGACTTCCAACCAGCCATGGAGCACTGAAGAAAGGAAGACTTCCAACCAGCCATGGAGGGTTGAAGAAAGGAAGACTTCCAACCAGCCATGGAGTACTGAAGAAAGGAAGACTTCCAACCAGCCATGGAAGTCTGAAGAAAGGAAGACTTCCAACCAGCTATGGAAGTCTGAAGAAAGGCAGACTTCCAACCAGCCATGGAGTACTGAAGAAAGGAAGACTTCCAACCAGCCATGGAAGTCTGAAGAAATGAAGACTTCCAACCAGCCATGGAGGACTGAAGAAAGGCAGACTTCCAGTCAAAGAGGGGTCTTCACACATGAGCTGACTCGGCCTTTACGGCAACCCAAGACCACGTGGCACTAAACTAGGTTACTATAGCTATTAGCATAGCTGCTGACGTTATAACATCACCGTTTATTGATAAAATGATTTATGAAAAGGAAATAAATTCTCAGCCTAAGTCAACAATTTTTTCAGAACTCCCCACTGCAGGTTTGCAAAAACTAAAATTTGTATTTCTGCGACCCATAATTACAACTTTTCAATGATTTCCAATCATTTTAATAGTTGTGATTGTGATTAATGTAGTTATTTACAGTAATTTACTACATTAATGTAGTTTATTACAATAATTAACTACATTAATTCCAAGGTAATTAATGCAATTAATTACAGTAATTGACTTCATTATCTACATTAAAGTAGTTAATTAACTTAATTAACTAAATTGTCATGTAATTAATGTAATTAGTTACATTAATTAACTACATGAATTACATTAAAGTAGTTAATTACAATAATAACTACATTAAAGAAGTTTGTTAGTTACACTAATGTAATTACTAGTTATTAATTAGCATCGTTGGCTAATGATGCTAATGTAATAATTTAGTTAATTACATTAATTACATTCAAGTAGTTAATTATATTAATTAACTGCATTAAAGAAGTTAATTAGTTACACTAATGTAACTAATAGTTATTAATTAGCATCATCGGCTAATGATGCTAATTAATAATTTAATTAATTACATTAACTAATGTAAATATCTGTAAACTAAATAAAAATCCTGATTTTTTTTGGTTTAAAGACCATTCTTGTGGACAAAATTAAGCTACAACAAACTTGCTTGCATTCATGTAGCAGTGACACGGGTCACTCTGATAAAAAAAAATCTCATCATATTGAGATAGTATCTGAATATTTTTCATTATAATTAGATAAAATTACCTCAATATGCTGTTGAGATAGCATTCATTTTAATAGGATAGCGTTATGCTAATCATGCTAATGATGCTATCTCAGTTACCTTATTATGCTATCTCATTAGCATAATGAGCTTATATTATGCTAATGAGATCGCATGTCATAATGAGGTAGAATTACTGCATTATGCTACTGAGATAGCATTTCATTTTAATGAGATAGCATTGTGCTAATGACGGTATCTCAAAATTTGCATATTGCTAATGACGAGCTAGCATTATCTCATCTCATTATCTATTTAAGTCTGAGAAGTAAAAGGTTGGAAATATACAACAAAGTGTTATATCGATTCCAGAGTACAGTGACTGCAGAAGTTGTGTATTTTAAGCATTCAGGCAACATATATAGCTACATTGTAGTAAAAAAAAATTGTGAGAAGGAGATCATAATTCATCATTTCTCTAAAAGTTGCATCATTTCGTTCCAGATTTCTGTTTCTTATGCGAAGATCTCAGCGGGACTCCAGAGATGAAGCTGCACCAGTTGCTGTTCAAAGACGTCACCCTGCAGAGGTGTACTTTTAAAATAACAACAACAACAACAATAATAATAATGATAATAATAATAATAATAATAATAATAATAACATTATGAAGCTTTCATCTTATGAGAGAGCTCATTTTTAACACCAGACACAGAAAAAGATTCTTCACCTGAAAAAGAAACGGGTCGTTCTTATTTTATGAGCAGTATTTCTTCACTTGCAAAATCTTTTATAGTTTAAAGCTACAGCTGCCAAAACCCAGCCTTGTTCCAAACAGTCCTTGCTGTCCTCACCTGCGCCAGGGGCTCAGCGCACAGACTCCAACTCCAGCTAATAAAAAGTGAATGTTGTTGTCAGGCCCAATCAGATGGAGCAGCGCAGAGACGGCCAAGGAGAGCGGGGACTGGAGGTAGACAGGGGACTTTGGATCAGATGATCACGGCAGGGGACAAGTAGTGCGGTTCTCATCGATTTACTTCTCCACATTTCAGTGTAAACAGAATTGTTCTAATTGGGGATCAACTAAGTAGGCCAGTGTTTCCAGCAGAACCATGGAAACCAGACATCTGACTGAACTCCGAGACTTTGTTCTCTTTGAGTTTGAGATATTGCGATGGTTAGACTTAATCTCGACTGGTTTGTGCTCGGAGGTCCTGTTTACAGTTGCCAAGCAAACTGAGTTTCCACTGTCGCCATCAAGCAGAACCAGCAAATCCGGCCGGCGCTCACCTGATACGAGGAGCAGCCCACACATTTTCTTTCAGGCGTTCTGACATCGGACCTCTTGGAGAAAGTCTCCCCCCCCTCCACCGACTGTCTGACTGCCAACAGGGTTCTCATTACTTTTACTATCCACCTTTTCTGCCTTAGATCACTGCACATTTGTTTCCTGCCCAGGTTGGAGCAATTCAAAGCATTTGCTTAAAAGTGTCTGCTGTCAAGTTTGTCTTGTGCTTGTTTCTGCAGATGAGACGCCAACGAACAATGAAACATCTCTTGGAGACAAACATCCTTCAGAGAATCAGAAGGTCCCAGCATGAAAGGCCTGTGTGACGTGAAATTATTTTCATCCCTCCACACACATAAAAGTCATTCTGGCTCCGAATGAGAACAACCACAGAAATCGTCCCGATTTCCCCCAAAGGTTCGGCAGACTGCAAATACGATCACAGGAAGTTTCTGGTAAACTTTGAGCAGGTCACTTGAGAGGAAATTTTTTTTTTTCAGTTAAACAAAATTCTGAGTGAAAAAAGGGGGCCAACATCAACATCAATAATCGAGGCTGACATATAGGAGAAACGAGAAAAGGCGACTCTCTTCTCCCTCCTTCAGCTTTGTGCCATGTGGTCTTTTTCCTCCATTTCTCTTTCATCCCTCTCATTTTGTGTTTTGTTGCTGCTGTCCACTTCAGGGACACTTCAATCACCCTCGCTTTAGATATCACCGCCGCTTGAAAGGCAGAAACTCACGGGCGATTCACTTTCAAGCAGAGTTCAAGAGGATCTTTCGATATTTTTTTTTCTTCTTCTTCTCCTTTTTTTTATGTGTATGTGTGTCACTTTTCTATTTGATGTGAGGAATGGAAGATGAGCTCTGAGCTGATGCAGAGGGCCAAGCAAAGAGGATTTGGAGATGCAAAGGAAGCAGGAAGATTATTCTGGCATTAGGATCTCAATGCTCCAGAGAGATTTCTTGATTAACTTTTCAAGAATCTCATGTTCATCACAAATATCAACATGGAGGAATTGGTAGCAAGATACTTAAGGTTTCTTTCAACATGTAAAAACGGTAAAGTGCTTCAAATAAATATCCAAGCGACTACGATCAGTTACAATCCTCACACCTGCACTCTAAAACTGCAGATTTGTCCTTCTTGTGTTCTTCAAGTGAAGAACAACTGTGATGCATGATTGCCAAAGTTTCTTGCCTTGTTTCTTTAATGGATGTTTTTGGTCTGAAAAGTGGAGAAAAATTCCTGGTTTGAGGTCAGACACCTCACTCTGCCTCTGCTTTGAAGAACAAGGCCACATTTCTGTCTGCGCCAACAATCAATACCCCGCCGATCAATAGGCGTCTTTGAAGTTGACATGCAGACCTGAACCATAAAACTTGGTGACAACTTGAACTTAAGAACTTTGACTGAAAAGATGCACATTTTAGGCCTGGTGAGTCTAACTTTTAAAGTAATTTGTTCACAATCAAGGCCGACAAAAACCGGACCTGAGCCGCCGTAAATCGCTGATCTTAGAGTCTTGTTCTAATATCCTCAGGTAGTCTTAATAAATTTCATTGTAGGATTGCCCTCTTTAAAATGCGTCGCACACCTGCTCACAGAGGCGTGCGTGTCCTCGAGTCGTCCTTCAGTCTGCAAATAAAAAATTCAGGAAATGAGAGGAAGCGGCTTCTCTCGTGGCTTAAGTATTGAAGCTATCCTCTTAATGAAGTAAAAAATCTGAAGTTTTACTGCTAATATTGCTGTACAACTTTGAAACTCTTCAGAGAAATGGAACAGATCATCCCCGGGACAGTTTAATAACCGGTCACGCGAGTGTCTCTCGTCTGAAAAAATTGACTGGAAATGTGTTTCCTGTGAGGCGGATGGACAGAAGTAACTACTTTGTGGAACACAGTCAGACATAATTAACGATCTCTTGCTTGATGAAAGGCATGATGATTGAATATTGTCATTAATCTCTTCAGATTTTTGCTAAAACAAACATGCACCCATAAATGAATGTCTAGTGCCCATCCACAAGACAAAGGTTTAAATCAGCAGGTCCACCGTTGTTTCTTTTCATGCTTGGGTGGACCTCGCTCCACGTTAGAGTTGTATCTCCTCCTTGTGGTTGCAGTTTCCAAATTTCACAGCTTTCACACCTCCCAGATGAGCCCTTCCCCACTCTGCTCCTTCAGACTAGCCTGCAGCAATTAGCAAGCACTTTCCGGAAATATGCATTTGCTAATTTCATTATAGGAGTTTCTTCTCAGTGCATGCTGGTAAACGGAGCGATATTGTGACGACTTCCTGAAGGCGGAGTTTTGGAAAGGAAAGGGTTTTTTTTAAAGAGACAGTGGACGGATTTTAAGGCGATATCAAATTTCTTTCAAATCATATTTTATATATGTAGCATTGTATAACAGCTGAAGTTGACAGAGGCACTTGATAGAGCTATGAAATGGTTTTAACACACATACGACATCCCCTTTAACAACTTTGGCTTTTCATCTTCCATTTTTCAGCAACGTGGATGCTCTTTTAGATGAAAGTCAAACTTGTTTTTAATCAAATGTTGGTCGGGACTGGCTCCTTTATGTCTGGCATCATCCGTCCAGGATATCTACAGGCCTGGGCTTGAGGCAGAGACTGACCCTGAACCCTTGTTTGAAAATCATAACCTCGGGTTTGAATTCTGTGCACCTTCCTACGGTTTCATCAAGTTCACATTGAACTTCTCGGCGAACAGCCGCCTAATAAACATGCACAAGGAGTTATGCTTGTCAGGCCACCAGGACCTTTCTCTCATTTCTGCCTGAAACGCTGCACCTCCTTTGCACACCTCCTTTGCACAGAGAGTATTTAGCTCCATTTTGTTGCTCTGTCTTTTTTTCACA